CTCTCTGGACAGGTGGAGGATCAGGGGCATCTGGTCATCGTGTTCTTGGGTGACTTTGGTCGCGAAGGGCTGCGTGCTGTGCTTCCTGCATCGTGGGTTGTCATCTCTGTCACCTCTCCTGTCATGCCATACTCCCCAGAAGGGACTTTGGCGCACGGAAAGTCCCGCAGGCTAGAGTTGGCATTGGTCTTCCTTAGGTTAACGACCTAGTCGCCTGCTGGCGGCAGCTTTGTGATAAAACTTGGAATGATTGCCCACCCTGGCACCCTTGTGTGCAAAGGCAAAAAAAAGTGGCCGGGCTTGGTCACGGGCAGTGAAGCACGTCACTGCTTCTGGTTAGTGGGGCCCTGGAAACGTTGCCGGTGATTCCCAACTCTGTGGATTGAGCCCAACGGATTCCCGATTGCAACATCTTTGTTTGCTTCGCCAGGGCTATGGGGACCACAAGCCAAGTCTTCCCCACTGCAGCCCAGGAGGTGAAGACTTGGATGCATTTTTCAACATAACCTTCCGGCTCCAGTGTCCCGTTACCCAGTGGTACGTCACTCCCTCACGTTTGTATGTGGCCTTTGGTGCTCGAGAGGTAGAGGAGCTTTCTGTTGGAGGCAGGCCGAGGATATTGCTTTGGTTTTTAGAGACTGGGTTTCATCATGTTGGCCAGGCTGGTCTCGAACTCTTGACCTCAAGTGATCCACCTGCCGTGGCCTCCCAAAGTGTTGGGATTAGACGTGAGCGACCGCGCCCAGCTGGTAGGGGATCTTGGATGTTGCTGTTCCTTTGCCCTTAGCATTTGCATCAGTTTGTCTGGACAGAAGCCATGACGCCTCTTGTTGCCTGTTGGAAGCCTGTTTGTTCCAACCCTGCGTTTTCTTTCCTTGCAGCTGGTCCTGGACTCCCAGAAGCGAGTCTTCTCCTGGGGCTTTGGTGGCTATGGCCGACTGGGCCACGCAGAGCAGAAGGATGAGATGGTCCCCCGCCTGGTGAAGCTGTTTGACTTCCCTGGACGTGGGGCTTCCCAGATCTATGCTGGTTACACCTGCTCCTTTGCCGTCAGCGAAGTGGGTTAGTGATTGCTCTCCCTGGCTTATCAGTACTCTGGTGGGAAACCGTGTAGCCGTTGTCCTGTCCCTAGACCAGGAACCCCAGTTCTCTTTACCTCCCATTGTTCTTTATTTTTTTGAGATAGGAGCTCATTGTGTTGTCCAGGCTGGTCTTGAACTCCTGGGCTCAAGCAGTCCCACCACCTTAGCGTCCTGAGTAGCTAGGACTGCACAGGCACGCCACCATGCCCGGCTCCAGTTATCTTTTAGAAAGAACACTTGTTTGCCATCCTGTCTTCTTACTCTTCACCCTCATAATGCTGAAGATGAGCCTCAGCTCTCGATGTCTGGTCACGCTGGGAACATGTTTTGTCTTCTCTCAGGTGGTCTGTTTTTCTGGGGGGCCACCAACACCTCCCGTGAATCTACCATGTACCCAAAAGCGGTGCAGGACCTCTGCGGCTGGAGAATCCGGAGCCTGGCTTGTGGGTAGGTGGCAGCACCTCCTGTGGGTATGAGGTCGCTTCCTTTCTTGGGGGTGTCAGACACACCCATGGGGTGCCCTTCCCTGATGGGGCTCTGTGTCTGCTGCCTGTTGGGCTGTCCTCAGCAGGCCACGTGACACACTGAATCCTGGAATCCGGGGGCCCAGGAGGGGAGAGGGCCCATTCGCTGCTAGAACAGATGGCTGTTCCCTGTCTTGTGGGAAGAAAGTCATTTTGAAGGTTTCTGTTCAAAGAAATACACAAGCAGAGCTTGATGTATTCCTGCGTTGCAGGTTGAAAATTATACGTGGTTGGGAACGTAGGACTGGAGTTGCTCTGACACTGGGAAGACGACATTGTCTTGACAGCAGTGGTTTGTAGTTCATTTCAGGACTCCTGTTGAGTTAGCTAGCACTTCTTGCTGAGGAGCTGGATTCGTCAGCTGGCGGGTGTGGGTGGAACAGTCTAAGGGGCGTGGCTTTAATCTGTTGAGGCCTCTGGCCCTGCCCAAATTACTATGCATGAAGGCTGCTCCCTCTGCAACAGGCTTTTACTCCATCCTGATCTGGTCTCCTCTTCCCAAAGCAACCTCCCACTGAGAGAGCCCTAGGACCTAGGGCGGGGTGCACAGCAAGGTCCCCTGCCTTCGGCCCCTAGGCCTGTCTAAGGGCTTTGTCGTTTTGTTGAAACGTTGAGTGGCCTGCACAGAACAATCTTCAGAGTTTAGGAGAAGCCTGTTGGCCCTGTCGTCGGGTTTGCTACTTGGAATGTGTACACCACCTGAAAAGCGGCAGCTCACACCCATGCCCTCGGAGCCGTAGCTGGGTGGGTCCAGGGCGGGGGCTGCTGGGCCTGCGGTGACAGCCTGCCTGTTTGCAGGAAGAGCAGCATCATTGTGGCCGCCGACGAGAGCACCATCAGCTGGGGCCCGTCACCGACCTTTGGGGAACTGGTAAGCTGTCACCTGCGCGGGTCGGGGGAAGTGGAGCCAGTCAGGGCGGCTCTTGGGCTTTGGGTTCTCTCCACCTGTCTCCCAAAACACACAGAAGAAAAACATTTGGGATTCTCCTCCCCTTATTGTATTAAGGTCTGCAGCACGATTGAGTCCCATGAGTTTTCAAGGACAATTCTGTGCTAGTCAGATAATTCTGAGTCATCTCTGCACATTTGTAAACTCTGAAAATTGGGACTTTTCAGATGCAGTTTCCCCTTGCATTTTGTAAACCACAGTTGGGATATGGTAGGAAAGGGGCCTGTTTGTTCCTTCTCCCCTGGAGGCCTAAGTCCTAGTGGGAAACTCACAGTAGTGGGGTGATTTTGGGGACATTCTCATTTTTCCAAATTGAGTTTAAACCTGTGTTTTTGTTGTTAATACCAGTTACTTGAGTAATGAGGTTAGAACCCATGGCCTTCAATTTCACACAGTGGCCTTCCCCAAACAAATGTCTTTCATTCTTAGGTCCTGGTGCTAGGTGATCTTTTTTTTTTTTTTTTTTTTGAGATGGCGTTTCTCTGTCCACCCAGGAGTACAGTGGCACAGTCTTGGCTCACTGCAACCTCTGCCTGCCAGGTTCAAATGATTCTCAGTTCTCCTGCTTCAGCGTCCTGAGTAGCTGGGACTACAACGTTTGCCACCACGCCTGGCTAATTTTTGTATTTTTGGTAGAGATGGGTTTTCACCATGTTGGCCAGGCTGGCTCAAATTCCTGGCCTTAGGTGATCCACTCGCCTCGACTACCGAAGTGATGGGATTACAGGTGTGAGCCACTGCGCCCGGCCCAAGGTGGGTCTTAGTGGTTTTGTTAGGAAGACTCGCTTGGCTGTGGAGTGCATCCTGATCTGCCTGCGCTAGGCACGGTTTGATTCTCCGCTTGATTAACTCTTAGTGGTCTTAGTTTTAGTCCCAAATTTCTTGTTAGAAACACAGTCTGCCTCCCTCTCTCCCGTAACTCGGGGTTGCAAGCTGACGTGTTGTTGGAGAGGAGGGGGAAGGAAGGGCGGTCCTTGGTCCTCGAGCTGTGGCTAGGATGGATGGTGAATGCACCTTTTCTCTCGGGGTTCTGCACGCCCTTGCAGTCTGGCTCAGACGCTCTGCTGGCCCGATTTGAAACATTGACAGGAAAGAGACAGAACCTGGCCCAGTTTCTACGATTGTTCTTAGCGGAGGCGATGTTTTTGGGGCCTATCAGAAATAGACTTGACCTTCTAAATATAAATTTTGAAACAAGAGGGGAGCAAGGGGAGACTTTCTGGGGAGCTTCTCCAAGGGTGAGAAGTGGCCTAGCACCTTGGAGGGAACGTCTACTGTGTGGGAAGGCGGGTGGGGCCTGGCGGGAGACGAACCAGGGACACGTGCGGCAGGCCTGGGCTGGGGAGGGGGGTCTGGCTCTCCTGCCTTGTGGGACCCTCTGTTTCAGCTGAGCGGGCCTTCAGCCTTTCAATTGCCCAGCTCCACCCTTTGCCAAAGACCTCCCCCTTAGCTTTGCCAATTACGTCCAGTTCCTTCTACCTGTGGGAGGGAAACTGGTCCCCTGGTGCCATTGCTAATAAATAGTCTCCCTGTCATGCTTAAGCCCTTTTGTTTTGTTTTGGATGGTGATTATTCCACTCTCTGGAACGGTGGAGGCATCAGGGGCATCTGGTCATCCGTGTTCTCTGGTGACTCTTGGTCCAGACAGGCTGCAGGTGCCGTTGCTTCCTGCACTCGTGGTGTCATCTCCTGTCACCATCTCCTGTCATGCCATACTCCCCAGAAGGGACTTGAGCGCACGGAAGTCCCGCAGGCTAGAGTTGGGCACCTTGGTCTTCCTTAGGTTAAGCACTAGTCGCCTGCTGGCGGCAGCTTTCGTGGATAAACTTGGATGATTCCACCTGGCCCTTGTGTGCAAGGGTGGCCGGGCTTGGTCACGGGCCAGTGGGCATCGTCACTGGCTTCTGGTTAGTGGGGGCTGGGAAACGTTGCCGTGATTCCCCACTTGTGGACTGAGCCACACGGATTCCCGATTGCAAACATCTTGTTTGCTTCGCCAGGGCTATGGGGACCACAAGCCCAAGTCTTCCACTGCAGCCCAGGAGGTGAAGACTCTGGATGGCATTTTCTCAGAGCAGGTAAGCGGGGGTGGCTGTGCCAGCTCGGGGACGTGTCCGTACCCAGTGGTACGTCACTCCTCACGCTTTTGATCGTCGTGGTCTGTTTGGGTTGTCTTGTTTAACAACTCCTCAGCTAGCTTTCCTGGTGCCTCACGCTAAGGTTTGCTGAGGGGAAACAGTCATCCGCAGGAGAGAGTGCAGAGGGTCGCTGGCCAGGCTGGGTGGCTGTCCCCACCCTTGATGACAGGTGCCACCAACTGGCTGCAGCAGATCACTCTCGGGCGAGCACGTCGCTCGTGTCTCCGTCACACCCAGGACTCAGATTCACTGGGCTGGAGGCAGGTCCGCAGGTCCATGGAGTAGAGGCTATGTGGCTGCAGGAGTCAGATGGCGGAGTGAGGCCCCTGTGGCTCAACCAGGCTGCCAGCCCTGTGTGCCAAGACACAGAGAGGGGTCGTGCACCTCACTCAGGCAGGATCGTGGGCCAGAGAGGAGGATGGAAGTGGAGCTGGAGCCATGTCCCCACCTGTCCCTGCTGACAAGAGGTGGCCCAGTGGGCTTCCTTCCAGCTGGGTGTCTCAGGGCAGCCTGGAAGGCTCTGATTGGCCGAGTGTTGGTGACAGTCACATGGAAACTGGCTGTCTTGGGCAGAGGGGCTTTTTGCGGTTTTCAAGGGCACCCTGTTTTTCTCCATGCTGACCCGCTTTGGCAGCCCAGTTTCCAGAGTCTCCTCAATGCGTTCATTAGCCCAGGCGCTGCAGCCACACCCAATGCTGATTTGTCCCCCAGGTCGCCATGGGCTACTCACACTCCTTGGTGATAGCAAGAGACGAAAGTGAGACTGAGAAAGAGAAGATCAAGAAACTGCCAGAATACAACCCCCGAACCCTCTGATGCTCCCGGAGACTCTCCGACTCCACACCTCTCGCGGCAGCTGTCATTTCCACATGCACTGGGACGGGAAGTCCAACGAGGAATTGAAAAAGGCAAAAGTTGACCGAAGGTGCATTTTTGTTTAGACTCCCTGAGGTTCCGTTTTACAAATGATCCAACGTTAACTACCTTTTTTTCTGTATGCTTTCCAAAGTCCCTTTCCCCCTTCATGTCGAATTAAAACACTTGCTCATAGTTGACTTACCATTTCCTACAAAAAGAGGGCCGAAAACCTTTGGAGCAATTCTAGGTGTTTTTGTTTTTTTTTTTTCCTTTCTTCCCTGCTTCCTGAAATACCACTCCCCAAAACCACCCGCTTTCCAGTTATAATGTAGCATCGTGATCCCCAAGGCGAATGCTACACGGAAGAGGAATCGGCCATTTATCGGAAAAAATGTCCTTAAACAAGGAACCGGGCAAGCAGAAGGCAAAAGTCGCGGCCCGCCTCCATCCCAAATCACC